TTTCTCCCCTGTGTGTGTTTTCACATGACTCCGAAGACCTGAACTCTGGGTGAAACATTTCCCACACTCAAAGCATTTGTAAGGCTTTATTCCTGCATGCATCTTCTCATGGGACGAAAGAGTTGACTTCCGAGAAAAGCTCTTCCCACATTCCCAACACTTGTAAGGTTTCTCCCCTGTGTGGATTCTCTCGTGGTTTCTGAGAGTGGATTTTCTACGGAAACATTTTCCACACTCAAAGCATTTGTAAGGTTTGATTCCTGCATGAATCTTCTCATGGGAACAAAGATGAGCTTTCTGAGAAAAGCTCTTCCCACATTCCCAACACTTGTAAGGTTTCTCCCCTGTGTGGATTCTCTCGTGGTTTCTGAGAGTGGATTTTCTACGGAAACATTTCCCACATTCCAGACACTGGTGAGGTTTCTCTCCAGTGTGGATTTTCTGATGTGGGAAGAGGATCCAGTCAAGGTTCGGAGGGGAAGAAATCCTTCTCTGGGAAAAATTCCAAAGATCTCAAAATCCCCCCAGGACTAAAACCCTATAAATGTGAGGAATGTGACTTGCGCTTTGGTCAAAAGGCACACCTTCTTACACATCAGAAAATCCACACTGGAGAGAAACCTCACCAGTGTCTGGAATGTGGGAAATTTTTCCGTGAAAAACCCACTCTCAGAAACCACGAGAGAATCCACACAGGGGAGAAACCTTACAAGTGTTGGGAATGTGGGAAGAGCTTTTCTCAGAAAGCTCATCTTTGTTCCCATGAGAAGATTCATGCAGGAATCAAACCTTACAAATGCTTTGAGTGTGGAAAATGTTTCACCTGGAGTTCATCTCTTCAGAGTCATTGGAAAACACACACAAGGGAGAAAAATGAAAAGTGCCTGGAATGTGGGAAGTGTTTTTCCTGGAAATCAAACCTGCTGCAACATCAGAGAATTCACACTGGAGAGAAACCTTTTGAATGCCCAGAATGTGAGAAACGATTTGTATATTCTTACGAGCTTCAGAGACACCAGCTGAGGCACAAAGGGGAAAAACGCTATCAATGTGGGGAGTGTGGGAAATTTTTTTATTTGATAGGTGAGCTTCGGGTTCATGAGAGAATCCACACAGGGAAGAAACCCTACAAATGTGGGGAGTGTGGAAAATGCTTTTCCCATAAACCAAACCTTAAAACCCATCAGAGGGTCCACACAGGAGAGAAGCCCTACAGATGCGTAGAATGTGGAAAATCTTTTGCTCAAAGTGGAGACCTTTCGTCACATCATAAAATCCACACAGGGGAGAAGCCGTATCAATGCAACGAATGTGGAAGATTTTATCGTACCTCATCAGCCCTTAGAAGTCATGAGAAAGTTCACACGGGGGAAAAAAAATTCAAATGTTTAAACTGTGGGAAAGCATTTGCTGATTCAACTCACCTTAGAAGTCACAGCCGAATCCATACAAGAGAGAAACTTCTCAAATGCTCAGTGTGATAAATGTTTTTCTCAGAAAAATTCTCTTTTGATGCATCAGCGAATCCACGCTGGAGAAAAACCATTTAAATGAGTGTCGGAAATGTTTTGCCCAACCTTCAGCACTCCTGATGCACACCCGTAATCACACAGGAAAGTAGGCATACAAGTATGCAGAGTGTGAGAAACCATTTCCTAGCAAATCAAAGTTCAAAATGCTCCAGAAAGTCCACAACAGAGATAAACCTGTTTAGTCGTGAACAATGTGGAAAACATGCATTTTTAAATGTCACATGTTAAAATTCACCAGGAACTGAGTTATATGTGTGTTGGCAGAGAACTGGAAGTCTTTGATTATGACCACAAATGGGGAATGGATTTCGGGTCATAAGCTGCTACAATCATCACCTGCACCCAGATCTTTTTGTTATTTTTTACTAGCCCTTGTTAATGAATAAGAAGTGAAAATTTAGAGAGGATTAAAATGGGTTGAGGGTGGAATGAAGATGCATCCTATTATTTTATTTAGTGATAAAGGGTTGATGTTGAATATGCTGGCTGAGGATGAAGAGGAAAAAATTATTTTTCCTACTATCTTTTGGGGAGGGATTTTTTCTGTTTTTCACATTGTTTTTTCATATGTTCACGCACATACATACAGGATATTCACAATCATACTGTACACAGTTGTGCTAAAGTTCTTTTGTTGATCTGCGTAGATAACTCTTAAAAAAATATTATGGATAGTCAAAAGAGTCAAAATGGCAATCAGATGGTGCCATGCTCTGCAGTCAAATCCTGCTGCTTTCTTTATCAATATGAGGTACTGAGGGTAGATTAATGAGAAAAATGAATTTCAACAACTTCTGGAACCATCATAACTAAACTGACAAAAGCGAAGGTTCTAAAAACTTTGAATGCTGATATGCTCAAAAGCCAGGATCAGCCGCACTCCTATTGGCTACTTCAGGGGGAATCTGGCATCTCCCCACCCCTCCAAGCACAGGGCGGGGCCCCCTGTGAGCCCCTTGATCCGGACACCTGGTTCCCCCAAGGCGCCTGGTACCCGGATGCTCCTCAGGTCTAATGGAGGCTCTTTCTCCTTATGGATTTCGGGCTCTCTGGGAAGAAGGTCCAGTCCTGGGAGACACAGAAGGTCAACTGGAAGTAGGGAAAAGAGCCCAGTGTGCCTGTTTCACACTGCTAATTCCTTCACACAGACACACACACACACACACACACACATTTGCCAGCATCCAGCTCCTCCTGCCAACAAAGGGGGTTTCATTATTCGTGGCCCCTCCTGTGTGGGATTCTCTGTCCTTCCTTCCCTTCTGAGC